TTCAATTTCAATTTCAAGGGCTGTGAGGTTCGAACCCTCATCACGGCCCTTGTGGATTTGTTCATGATCGTAGTTCGTTTAACTATAATTTCTTTAAGGCTAAGCTGTTTAATTGGATACGAAATGTTTTTTTTTTTTAATTTGTGTACCGGCTCTAAAAGACAAATTTGTTTTGTAATAATACAAAAAAGTGGGGAATATTATATATTAAGACTCGCCACATTATTTTATGTAGTTTGCTCTGTATATTTTAAGTTCAGGTGAAGGAAATTGTTTGCTCGATATTTCCAATCTGCCTTCATCCACTCTTATCATTCTCTCTCGCTCCCGCTCTGCGTTCCTCCCTTCCTCCCTCTCTACATTCCAATCTCCTTCCCTACGTGTTCCTCTGCCTCCTACCATAAATCACCCCTTCCCTCCCACATGTTCCCTCCTTCACCTAATCATTCACATTAACTTCACTCACCCGCCATGGCTCGTCACCGTCCCCATAATAGTTCACAGCTACCCACCGTCGCTGTAGCCTCTCCAGGTAGGAACTGTGTCAAGGCAATAGCCCAGGGTGGGGAAGGAGGGGAGGGGTGGGGGGGGGGGGGGGGGGGGTGGGGGGGGAGGGGAGGGGTGGGGGGGGGACGGAGGGGAGGGTGGGAGGGGTGGGGGGGGAGGAGAGTTATTACAGTGATGGTTTTTAGCTCATTTGCATACCAGCTTCCGCTACGTCATAATGTACTCAAGTGCTCAGCTACTCCGGCTTATTAGAAGATGTACTACTTACAGTGGTAAGTATTCTTAATTTTTATATTTTGCTTTGGCTAGAGAGAGACACTATTCCTTCCCCCCCCCAATCCCATCCCAAATCATTATCCTGACCCCTTCCTAGTGCTATATAGTCGTAATGGCTTGGCGCTTTCTCTTGATAGATTTTTTTTTAGAGAGAGAGAGAGAGAGAGAGAGAGAGAGAGAGAGAGAGAGAGAGAGAGAGAGAGAGAGAGAGAGAGAGAGAGAGAGAGAGAGAAAGAGAGTTTTATCAGGATTCAGAGACACATTCAGTTTCTGAAGATTATAGACACAACAACTGAGCCACACACTGTAAGGAGCTTTTGGTGGTGGATTGAGGGAACAGTCAGAATTGTTTAGAATGGATATCAATTTAACATGAATAGAGCTGGGGGGACCATTATTTTTGAAAGTTTTGGCGCAAAACATAGTACTAAGTAGAATTATTCTTTCGTAAGTGGAAGGTAAGTTTAGTTCCTTTTTCATGTTAACAATTCTGACAGTTCTAGGACAACCCAGGATGATGCGCATGGCATCATTCTGTACTACATCTAGACCTTGTAATCGTTTAGGAGAAAAATTAAGGAGATGTAAGGCATAATAATCAACAACAGATCGTATAAAGGCAATATAAAAACTAGGAGCATATTTTATGTTAATGCCAAATCCTTTACCCACAAGAGTATTGAGAGGTTTAAGACGCTCAATAAGTTTTTTGCGCAGGTTGCTGATGAGGTTTGTATCATTAACCTCGATATGTATAAGACTCACAAGTCTCCACGGGCACTCCATTAATAGATCCTGCCAAAGAAATGGACTGAACCCAAATGACAGACGGCCGAATACGGTCACCCACCATTACCACACCAACCAGTTTAACTGCTGAGAACCATTATACTCTGATCACCACCTTAGGCGATACAAGAACCACGAACCTCCGTGACGAACTGGACATTCAGTCTATTACAAAATTCATTGAGAGTTTACTATACCGTCTATGGTGGTCAATTCTAAGGAGGGAGAGGGAAGGGTCGTTGGAGTCTAGGGTCACTGAAGGACAGTGGTGGTCTTTGGAAGAATTTCAAAGAGTCTATGGGACAGTTAATACCATGTACTGCGCCTTAACAAAATAAAAACAGATTATGAGGGCTTGAACTGAATGTCTCCTCTTATTTACCTGCAGTTTTAACTGAGAACAACAAAGCAGGGCTTGTGACATATGAATGCAGGTATTTGTACATATTTGCACATATTTGCAGGTAAATATGTGTTGAATGCTAGTATTCACTGTCACGCAGGACAGAGGGTCATACATAAGACAATAGGTCTAAACTGTAGGCTGAAGCACATATATATCATGGTTACAATCAATGTTTTAATGTATGGATGCAACACTCGTATGCCGCTACAGGTACACACGTGGACTGAGCTTGAACAACAGGTGGAGGAAGCACACATCATTCACCGGTTCAGGAATAAGTTGTGGAAAGTCTGGTGGTAAAATTGCAACCACTATGAGGCGGGTGGACATAATACCTAACAAAATAAGTCATGAGGCAAACGTCCCTAGCCATAAACTGCACATTAGAGCCACTACACACAGCAATCACAATAGCGTGATGCATCATATGAACAAATTCACAAGAGCCACGTTTAAGGTTCGAACCTACGTCCTACTGAGCTTACTGACCCAGAGCCCAGGTGCATGGGGGGAATTGTGTAAAACCCTGGTTTGTGTCTCGGAGAGACTGCAGGATCCGTGTGAGGTCAGTAGATCTCCCGGTTGCAATTCTTTTACCATATCGTGGCACAGTCGATTAAGGCCCGTCTGGGATCCTCTCGGACGTAGATTCGAACCCTAATCACGGCCCTTGTGAATTTGTTCATTAGAGCCACTCATCAAGCAAATGCAATATCCCCTCCAGCAAGGTAAGGCTGCAGTATGATATAAGTCAAATTTCGGTATTACATATATACCATTAGATGGGGTATCCGACTGAGACCGGGTCTTCCCCCCCCCCATCTCTCCTAATCTCCCTATCTCTTATCTCTCTTCCCCTATCCCCCCCTCCCCTTCTCCACCCTTTTCCATCTTTCTTCCCCAACGTCGCATTTTTCCCTGCTTTTCTCTCATCTTCTCTTTTTTTCCTCTTTCTCAGTCTCCTCCCCTCTCCCACCATTCTCCCCATCTCCTCCCCCAATCTTTCCCTCCTCCCCCTTTCTTAAAAAAATTAAGATTAAGAAGCATTGAAAAACAGCTAAAAACGCTATGGAAATAAAATCCCTGTTTTCACACATAATGAAAATCGAGGGATGGGGGGGGGGGGGGGGGGGGGGGTTGCTAGAGATCTATCTTCTTGAGGTTATCTTGAGATGATTTCGGGGCTTAGGGTCCCCGCGGCCCGGTCCTCGACCAGGCCTCCTTTTTGTTACACCCCCCCCCCCCAGGAAGCAGCCCGTAGCAGCTGACAAACTCCCAGGTATCTATTTACTGCTAGGTAACAGGGGCATATGGGTGAAAGAAGCATTTTGCTCATTTGTCTCCGCCTCCACCGGGGATCGAACCCGAGACCTCAGGACTACGAATCCAAAGCGCTGTCCACTCAGCTGTCAGGCGCCCACTAAAGATGCCAATATTTCTTAAAGGGTAGTGGTGGGACTAAACTCCGACGAGTCTGCGACACCCTTACCCCACAATGTGTCATCTTGAAGAGTTCGGTGAGGCTAGCCCAAGCGTCTGACCTTCTACTCCGGATTGACACAAGACGTATTTAATAAATATAGATATTTATATATCACAAGATGGGTTATCGTTCCCGGATCACTCTCCCCCTTAACCCTTCTTCTCTCTTTCCTTCTCTCCCAATCTCCTCTCTCTCTCTCACACGTCCCTTCCATTACGCTGCTGCTAGGAAGGAGGACGAGGCGAAGGGCAGGAGGAGGAGGGTGGCAGAGGGGATATATATGTATTCATTATATTTCTATAATTATTATTCATCGAACGATTTAGTTAAATTTACATTATTTAACCTGTTTTGATTTATACACGATATGTTTATTTATCCCTTGAGCACATCTGGAGGCACACGACACCACTGAGGCTGTGCTCCACACCGCTACCTTCTGCCTGGTGTACATGGGGCGACTCTTCTTGCTTTTACTTACACATATTTGGAAGAATGTTATGGTGTCTTCAGAGTACTAAACGAGGCACAACAAACTGAAGGAGACAGTTTTGTAGCTGTAATTGGCTGTGAGTTCCGGCGGAAGTCAGTTGATACTGACTGTTGTGGTTGGTCGCCCGCGTGTTGTGTACTCACCTAGTTGAACAGGCTGGGTCGAGCATCCGCTCTTAAGCCCCAACTTTCGACTATTATTAGCTTAATGCAGTGTGTGTGTGTGTGTGTGTGTGTGTGTGTGTGTGTGTGTGTGTGTGTGTGTGTGTGTTTTCCATCATTTTTTTATACTGTAGATGGAACAAGCTTTCATATCCTCCTCGTCTAGTCAAAATGTATTGAACTTTTTAGCAACTCTTACATTAAAAAAAAATCATGCGAAGTTTTTGCCTCTGAGGTAAGACTTGGTGTTATGTCTATTCCTGGATCTTTTTGTTTATTTGTTTCTTGGCCATCGATCCTCTCCAATGTGTATCGTCTTTATGGTCAACCATCCTCAGTTTCCTTGTACCTATACTTGGTGGTATTATTTTACAGTAACCCTTTGTAGTACCAACTATGCATTCTGATCTTTCTTAGAGTACTTGACAATCTTTTCATTTTCGGAGTTTTCTCGTTACAACTGTATCACTCGCAATAAATGTGAAATAGCTTGGGTCCTCAGACCGATCCTTAGAGGTCATTCTGTGCCAATCCGACTTATCACTCATATCTTTAATGCGACTGTGTTCAGTCTGTTAGGTACTCTCTCCCCCATTTATGTGCTCCTCTGGTTATTCCCACCCGCTTCTCAAGATTGTATACAGTAATTTACATGCGAACCAGAGTTAAAAGTGCTTGGTAGTCTATAAAACAGCAGGCAACATGAGTAAAGCAACATAGGTATGGCAATATGCTCAAGAGAATGTGCACAAAGGCAACATGTGCAAAAGAACGAGAGCAACATAAAAGCAACATTTCAAACAACATGTAATGGTTCAACACAACCGTAATATCCCTTAGCATTATGCGGAAGGATAATCTATTAAAATGAAAAAAAATTAACAATATACTCAATGTATTTTATTAAATTCTCACATTTGGGGTCCAAGAGAACACGACAGAAACTCAAAGACACGAGGGAAGACAAAAGAAAAAGTGAGACGAAAGAGAAAGAGACAAAAAGAAAATGGGTGATAGCGAGAGTAGAATGAACACGAGAGAGAACTCGAGAAGAAAAAGAGAGAACATTAGAATAAATAAACACTGTAAAACAAACAAAAAAGCATACTCTACGTCACTAAATAATAACAACAGAAATATTTACAAATATATTAAACGTAACATTTTTAACAATGGCAATAACAGCAGGGGGGAGGGTCTGAAATACACGTAACAGCATAGGGGGGTCTGAAATGTTTATGACAAGATTACATTAATAAATATATTGGGCAAGCACACAGAAGCACTTGTTACACTTCTCCATAGAACGCAAAGCACACAGGAGGCACAAGCGAGAAATTCAGTGTATGGCAACATACAAAATCTGATAATAAATAAAATTTAGTCCTATCTTACAGCGAAGTCAAAACTATATATTTTAAATACTTCAAATATTTAAATATTGATGTTAATTTTTATTCCCAGTAAATAATATATTAAGATCATTTATTATTTTCTTTGACTTTATAAGTACTATATAATTATAAAAATATGATTATTTCATGAACTAAAAGGTTAAGTTTACCTAACGTGAATGAGATAATCGATTAAATGACCGAGCAGTATTCATACTTAATTATATCAAAGGCTGGTTGATCGAGTGGCTTATTGAAGCACCAATTTGAGCTTTGTATAACTGTCTTGTACAAGTTTATATAAACCAGCTGACTGGTTCATGCAAAAACAAAACTGAAAATTCTGCATTGCATTTAACAATTTTGTGTAGAAAGTTTTCCATTTTATTTAAAAAAAAATTATCATAAATTTTGAGAACAGGCCCTTGTACAACATTTTTGAATTATTGAGATAAATTGCTGAACAAATTTAATTAAGGAATATTCAGCAATAAAACTAATGATTTTATGAACTATTAGAGTTCAGCAATCTAGATCTTGCAAACGTTAGCGTAATCATATAAATTATTGTGGGCAAGTCGAAACATTTGGAGAACTCTCGAAGGAAAACACAGGCTTACACAGTGCCGAAAAAAATGGCAGAAAACTTAAACACTTAAACAAACTAGCTTTAGTGCTTTCATAAACATTGGAAATACATTTAAATAAATCATTAGTCTTTGCAAAATAATTTAGACATCTCTCAATGCCATTGTAATATTTAAGTAAATCTTGAAGACACAGTCTTTTCAAGACTTTCTTGGTCTAAATAACTTTTTGTAACTCAGGTTAATAATCGATAAAAGTTACAACAAAATTAGGAGTTCAGACAAGAAAGAGCTTCTCTTGTTCCTCCTCTCTGAGTGAGTCTCCTCTCTCTGTTTTGTCCAGGCTACGCAAAACTTTAATTTGTCCAGACTACGTCAAACCCGGTTTTGTCCAACCTAAGTAATTCAAAGTGCTTCATAATAACCTCCCCTCAAAAAAAAAAGTCACCTTGAGCATCATATAATGTCCATGCACTTCCACACCTCCTCAAGGTTCAGGACTATGCAAGGAAAGTTACACATTTAAATACACTAAGCAATAACTGGAGGCCAATATATGTGTGTGATAATCTAAATTAAAAAAAGGTTCTTTAATTACAGTAAGAAAAAAGATGGTTGAGAAATAGAAATAGACAGATAAAAACAGACAAATAGACAGTCAACTATTATATCATTATAACACAGAAACACCACACAAATATGAGTCACCCAAAATGGCATATAATAACTGTTCTAAATATGTAAAAAAAAGGAGAAAATTAGGTGCCATGAAGAGGATTCGAACCTGTACACTGGGTACTCGTAAGCACACGCCTTAGACCCACTTAGTTATTCTGAGGCCAGCAGCTTAATGATGACTACAACTAATTCAACAGTTGACACGTTAACACACTGAGTGTGTCAAGGTTTCTGACTGTCTTTGACTCTTTAGGGAGATGAGGTCATGGATACGTCACGTATCCAGCAAGCTTGTGACATCAGAACAGGTGCGTTATGCTACGTCTTGAATCGAGCAAGCTAGAGACATCAGGACAATGACGTCATGGCTACTCGAGTTAGCTGTGTCACAGGTATACGAGAACAGGGATGTTATAAATGCACCACAGTACCACAAAAGGGCTAACAAACACGGTGACGTAACAAACGCGTCACAATTACACAATGAGCAACAGTAGTGAAAGGGGTTTAACGAAGACAGTGACGTCATATACACACCAGAACAGTGACGTCATATTCACACCATAACAGTGACGCCATTAGGTCGTCACCGAAGCACTGGTGTTAGGAATGGACTAATTCTAATGATATGCAACAATAATAATATACTTCAGTGCGATGCGCTCTTGAATATATTAACTCTAGAAATTATCTCTCTTCGTTTCATCTCATAATAATCATAATTGCAATACAAGAAAGATAAAAATATCGAAATGCATAAATGATTCAGTCTGGTCTTAATAACAAAAATCTAAAACAATACCCCATGTAAGATTTTGTCTAGAAGAGTAACTATTAAGGTTCCTTGTAAACCTTTGTTCATTTATTTCAGAAATAGATTTTCCTTGTAGAAATTTTGATGAGAAACATTAGTGCAAGCGAAAAGACGAGCATATTAATCGATTCTTTTCCCTTTTACAAAAGAATATATTTTTCAGAGATAATACTCCATCATCAGTACTACTGAAACCTATTTAAAAGATAGCCATCTTTTACCGCGCGGACTCACCATAGCCCGTGCTACTTGGCACTTTTGTTCCCAGTAGCTGAATCTAAAACAACAACAGTTTTACCGCGTTCACCTCAGACCAGGAGCCAGATTCACGAAGACTTTTGTACCAGACTACAGGAAGAAAATTGTACCAGACTACACTACATTAGAAGTGAAGTCTGTGCTTCTAAGTGTACTTCGAGCTGCTTTGTTCGGTACGTGTGGAACGCCTCACAATACCTTAACCTACACATCTGTGAACATACCGGTTGAACATATCTATGAACATACCTCCTACCGTACAGCTTTGTCCCCCCACCACCATAGGCCAGCTGCGTCCACCGTAACAGCGTGATCACTCTGAAGCCTGGAGTCACCCCCCCCCCCTCACACTCAGAGACGTCACTCTACTGACTTCCACCTCCCTTAGACGAGACCTTAAAACGTTTTGGATTCGATTCATGTTGGTCAAATGAGACCCCGAGCGGATCAACTCCTCGGCTCCGTTGTTTACACCTTAATATCGTGTCGTGCAAAGGGGGCTGTTAGGTCTTTTATATCTTTATATCAAGTTTTTTACATTGGTCTTTTCTACTGGAATTGATTTATATAAACTTTTGATCTTTTATTTACATTTTTGTAGCCAATTTTTAGCTTAGTAATTTGTTTTTTGTTTTAGCACTGATTATGGAGTATTTTGAACAATTATTAAAAATTTACGAAATTTGAATTATGACACAATTTTTCCATTGCTGATCAACCTTATGTCGTCTGGGGAAATTATTGAAAAATAATTTAATATTAATTATCCCATTATAAGATTATCCCATTATAAGATTTAATTGGATCCGAATGGCGAGGCATATAAAACTATTTCAAAACAGCTTTATCAAATATATTAAAATCGTGATTACCCAGTCAGCGACTCGCTCACATGTACGTATAAATATACAGTTATATATTATGTTTCGGAAAGTCTAGACTACACATAAATAGCATTATATGAGATATGAGCATTATCAAATACATTTTCAAAGAGATTCATCACTGTATAATATATCTCGAGTAGTTTGACTGTTCAGTCTACGAGCATTTATATTTCAAAACCCTTAGAGTGACTTTGCGTAGATTTCATGGATTTACGATATTCTATATTATCTCTATATTATTTCTATATAGAAAAAAGTGTCAGTCGATTAATTTTCCCAGTTCTCAATATTGAATTCTCTGCAAATATTGAAATTCTCACACATTAACTTTACAGGTAACAAAGGTTATCTTAGATTATCATTTGTAACTTTAAATAAGACTGAAATCATCGACCAAAGGATTCAAGTATACTTTAGGAAGTATTCTTAAAGTATACTGAAGTTTTTTATGAGATACATACCGCAGTTCTTTCATCCGATAGTTTTAATCGCTCCTCCGTCAACTAGCAATTATGCTTAATGTTGACATCTACTAAAGGGCTGCGTCAGGGAAGTAGCAGAAAACTCAAAAATACTTGGAGAAAGTTGTTGATATTTACCAAAGAAATTGTAAACTGTCTACATCTACTAAGGTGCCTCTTTACATCAATGAAAGAGCTTTACATATTCCCAATGAGTATCTTTGTCCAAACACAGACATTCTTAAACGCGCCAAGAGATTGCTTACACCAGTGAAGCAAATGAATGCCTTCCCAGTGGCTGTTTACATCTCCCACGAGACGGCCTGCTTTCATTACGAGGGCCGCAGGTCTACTTGAGGTAGATACCTGGCTTGCTGTAGGTCTGGTGAAGCTTATCGAAGTGGGACGGGTTGTAGGGGGACCTGAAGATGAATAAGTTGTTGGGTCGTCCATTGAAGAACCAGGGACCAGGAAGCCACGTGATTGGGCTGGGCTTCTTCATCGGGGAGGGCTTTGGAGGCTTTGTCGTCGTCGAAGAAGGCGAAGTGGTCGTAGTAGCAGCGGTAGTTGTGGTGGTCGGAGCGGCTGTGGTGGTAGATACAGTGGTTGGAGCTGCTTTGGTTGTGGTTGTTGGGGCCTTGAAGTGAAAGATGTTTGAGGGTTTGCCGTTGTTGATGAAATCGACGTCTGGACGAACGAAGTTAAATTGATTGTTGTTCGGAGAGACGTAGCCGAGCCCAGGCATGTAGACGTAGGGAGAGGGAGGTAGACGGATGTAGTAGATGGGAGAGTTGGTGACTGGATGCGTTGGTTTCTGGTGGTGATTTGGGGGAGAGAAGAGGCTTGTTAGTGGTTGGATTTAACAGTTGGAAAGATGGATAGATCGTGTGTGTGTGTGTGTGTGTGTGTGTGTGTGTGTGTGTGTGTGTGTGTGTGTGTGTGTGTGTGTGTGTGTGTGTGTGTGTGTGTGTGTGTGTGTGTGTGTGTGTGTGTGTGTGTGTGTGTGTGTGTGTGTGTACGCGCTCATGGGCTTTCTTGTGTGTGCATTATTTTTTATATCGTATATAAAAATCAAAGGTAATCTGCATTGCAACTTATGTATATTTTAAATTTTAATTAAAAATCCAAATTAATGTTAGAAAAATATTTTTGGTTGGTTTTGGCACATTTCATTGTTAATATAAGCATGAGTTGGTCTTTTACAAGAAAGCTTAGCAAACAAACATATCCAAACATTACCTACGAACTATTTCTTCCTCTGAATGGTAGCAGCAGTGCTGATGGATTAGTGATGAATACGTGATGATGGATTAGCTCAATTAGAGTTGTTTTATATGTAATAATAATGATTTTTAAACTATGTTCACCGCCTCCTCCCGATCTCCGTCCCGCAATAATAACCCAACTACATTAGATCAATCCCTAGAAATGATACACACACACTCAGTAAATACAATCAAACATACACACACACAGACACAAACGCACAGGAGAATATCCAAAAATTTGGAAGACCGCCAATGTAGCCCCGATACACAAGAAATGGGATAGAAGGGAGTCGGTCGGCCGAGCGGACAGCACGCTGGACTTGTGATCCTGTGGTCCCGGGTTCTATCCCGGGCGCCGTCGAGAAACAATGGGCAGAGTTTCTTTCACTCTATGCCCCTGTTACCTGGCAGTAAAATTGGTACCTGGGTGTTAGTCAGCTGTCACGGGCTACTTCCTGGGGGTGGAGGCCTGGTCGAGGACCGGGCCGCGGGGACACTAAAGCCCCGAAATCATCTCAAGATAACCTCAAGATAGACAGGAGGCACTGTTAGGGACCAGTGTCCCTAACTTGCATACCATGCAAGTTGATGGAGAAGATTGTGCGAAAAAAAGCTAGTGGAACATCTAGAGAGAAAGAACTTTGAAACATAACATCAGCATGGGTTCAGGGATGGCAAGTCCTGCCTCACAGGATTAATTGAATTCTACGACCAGGAAATAAAAATCAGGCAAGAAAGAGAGGGGTGGGCAGAACGCATAATTTTAGATTGCCAGAAAGCCTTTGACACAGTACCACACAAGAGGCTAGTGCATAAGCTGGAGATGCATGCAGGAGTGAAAGGGAAGGTACTCCATAGGACAAGGGAGTACCTAAGCAACAGAAGACAGCGAGTCGCTGTGAGGGGTGAGGTCTCAGATTGGTGAGGCGTCACCAAAGGAGTTCCGCAGGGCTCAGTCTTTGGACCGATACTGTTTCTGATATATGAAATTTCTGAAATTATCTCCCAGAAGGTGTAGAATCGTTCCTCTCATTGTTTCCTGATGATTCACAAACTATGAGGAGGATTAAGATAGAGGAAGAGAGCATGAGGCTTCTGGATGACTTAGACAAACTGAATGATGGTCCAACAAATGGCTACTAAAGTTCAACCCGAGTAAATATAAGGTAATGAAACTAGGCAGTGAAAACAGGAGGCCAGACACAGGATACCGAATGGGAGATGAAATCCTTCACGAAAACGGACAGAGAGAAAGGTCTGGGAGTTCATATCACACCAAACCTGTCTCTTGAAGCCCTCATAAAAAGAAAAACATCGCTGGCGTATGCAAGGCTGGCTAAAATCAGAACTGCCTTCAGGAACCTGTGTAAGGAATCATTCAGAACCTTGTATACCACATATATACGACCAATCCTGGAGTAAGCGGCCCAACATGGAACCCGTATCTTGTCAAGCCTAAAACGAAGCTAGAAAAAGTCCAAAGGTATGCCACTAGACTAGTCCCAGAACTAAGACGCATGAGTTACGAGGAAAGGCTGAGTGAAATGCACCTCATGACACTGGAAGACAGAAGAGTAAGGGGAGACATGATCACTACTTAAAAATTTTTCAGATAAATTGACAGGGTAGATAAGGATAAACTGTTTAACACTGGTGGTACGCGAACAAGGGGACACAGATGGAAACTGAGTACCCAAATAAGCCACAGGGACGTTAGAAAGAACTTTTTTCAGTGTCAGAGTAGTTACCAGGTGGAATGAATTAGGCAGTGATGTGGTGGAGGCTGACTCCATACACAGGTTCAAATGTAGATATGATAGAGCCCGGTAGGCTCAGGAATCTGTACACCAGTTGATTGACGGTTGAGAGGCGGGACCAAAGACCCAAAGCTCAACCCCGCAAGCACAACTAAGTGAGTACAACTAGGTGTGTACAGAAACATTCACCGACAGACGGAAGGAATGGTTCAACAAATGGCTACTAGAGTTCAACTCGTGCTAGTGTAAAGTGATTAAGATAGGTGTAGAGAGCAGGAGGCTAAACACAAGGTACCAGTTGGGAGTTGAAATCCTTCAGGAATCAGGAAGAGAGAAAGATCTGGGGTTTGATATCACGCCAGACCTGTCGCCTGAAGCTCATATAAAAAGGATATCATCAGCGGCGTATGCAAGGCTACAAACATAAGAACTGCCTTCAGAAACTTGTGTAAGGAATCATTCAGAACCTTGTATACCTCATATGTCAGACCAATGCGGTTCTGGTGTGGAGTCCGTATCTAGTCAAACACAAAACGAAGTTAAAAAAGGTTCAGAGGTATGCCACCAGGCTAGTTCCCGAACGGAGGGGGTATGTGCTACGAGGAAAGACTGCTGGAACTGAACCTCACGACACTGGAAGACAGAAGAGTTAGGGGAGACATGATCACCACCTATAAAATTCTCAGAGAAATTGACAGGGGTAGATAAAGATAAACAATTTAGCTTGGGTGGTACGCAAACAAGGGGACACAGGTGGAAACTTAGTACCCAAATGAGCCACAGAGACATTAGAAAGAACTGTTTCAGTGTCAGAGTAGTTAACAGATGGAATGCACTAGGAAGTGATGTGGTGGAGGCTGACTCCATACACAGTTTTAAATGTAGATGTGAAAGAACTCGAGAAGCTCAGGAATTTGTACACCAGTAGATTGACAGTTGAGAGGCGGGACCAAAGAGCAAAAGTTCAGTCCCGCAAGCACAACTAGGTGAATACATGTTAATTGACAGTTGAGAGGCGGGACCGAAGAGCCGAAGCTCAACCCACACAAGCCCAACTTGGTGAGTACAGGTAGGTGAGTACCCATAGCGCTGAATAAGTTAACGGTTGCATCACTATGCCTAAGGCCGGCCTCCACCCCCAAGTGTGGAGCACAGTTAGTGCCAGCAGAGATAATAAACATGCTCACCACCCTCCACACACCACCCCTCCGGCCTCACCTTCACCTCTGGTGTCGTCACCGTTACTAATGACGTGGTGGTGGTGGCAGGAGTCGTCGTCGTCGTCGTCGTCGTCGTCTCTATCGCGGCGGCTTGCCTAACCGCCTCCTTCAAAGCATTCTTCGTGGCTGTGTTGGGGAAGAAGCTGTTGAGGAGGGAGCCCCGCACTCCACGTCTTGAGGCCGGGAAAAGTTGGCCGAAGGAGAAGCCGTCGACGCTCCGACAGCAAGTGGCGGCCAGCACCAGCAGCGCCACCAGCGTCGCCGTCGTCGGTCTGCGGGAAGGAAGGTGCTGTGTTACCATTTAGAATCCAGGAGACGGAAGGGACTAAAATTAATCCTGACTTTCTAAAGATATATTTACAGGAAACTGCGGATTAGCGCGGCTGTGGTGGCCAGCGGTCCCCCTCGACCATCAGGTTATCACCAGAAAAGTCTGGAACAGAAGTCACAAGACATTTACGCATCCAATTACAAAACCTGTATATCTTTTAACAACCATGGCGGCTTTGTTTACTTTTATTGAACAGTTCACGAGCTTGGAAACGTCACAAGCAATGTGAACAAAGCTGCCATGGTTGAGGAAAGATGTACAGGTTTCGCGTAAATGCTTGATAAATCTTAGCCCCTGGCTCCTGGTCGTGTTCCGACATTGGAAGAACCCTCGAAACTTGTCACAGTCACATAACCCACCTCGAATTACCTGCATTTACCCGTTGTAACTTACAATTTCCATGACGTAATAGGAAATATACGCGTGACAACCGGGTCTCGTTGACCAGACCACACACTAGAAGGTGAAGGGACGACGACGTTTCGCTCCGTCCTGAACAATTCACAATTGACTTGAGAATGGTCTAGGACGGACCGAAACGTCGTCGTCCCTTCACCTTCTAGTGTGTGGTCTGGTCAACACACTTCAGCCACGTTATTGTGACTCATCGTCTGCAACCGGGTCTTGTTCAGCCTGTTCAGGGAGAACGACTGAGTAGACCGCCAATGAGACGCTCTGCCTGCCGACCCATCTGAGGTCAAACGATAAGTAATGCCATAACTGGAAGAGGTTACTTGGGCGCACTTAAGGGCCAAAGAGTAGACGGCGTTGTGCGTCTTTGCTACAGATCTCATTCCTAAAATCACAGCGAATATGGTAAATATATGTGATGAGACGGCCGGAGACTCACAAGTGTCCGTGTGTCTGTAATATAGGTTTGTGCCTGATGCTTGGCCATATATGCACATCTAGGGCCAAGCATCAGGTACATTACATGAGTACACACCTGTACGCACGAACGCACGCAGCACGCACACTAGGTGTGTGCTCAACTAGGTGAGAACACACGAAAATTCTCAGGGGAATTGACAGGGTAGACAAAGAGGGATTATTTAACACGGGTGGTACACGCACAAGGGGACACAGGTGGAAGCTGAGTACCCAAATGAGCCACAGAGACATTAGAAAGAACTTTTTTAGTGTCAGAGTGGTTGACAAATGGAATGCACTAGGAAGTGATGTGGTGGAGGCTGACTCCATAGTTAGTTTCAAATGTATATATGATAGAGCTCGAGAAGCTCAGGACACCAGTAGATTGACGGTAGAGAGGCGGGACCAAGGAGCCGAAGCTCAACCCGCGCAAGCACAATTAGGTGAGTACACACACACACACATACACACTCTGTGTGTGTGTACCCCCCCCCCCACACTGGGGGTCTGGTAGCTGAGTGGACAGCGCGCAGGACTCGTAATTCTGTGGCCCGGATTCGATTCTCGGACCAAGCAGAAACAAATGGGAAAAGTTTTTTCACCCCTGATGTCCCTTTTACCTAGCAGTAAATAGGTATCTGGGAGTTAGACAGCTGTTACGGAGCTGCTTCCTGGGTGTGTGTGTGCAGTGTGTGTGGGGGGGGGAATTAGTTACAGTTGATTGACAGTTGAGAGGCGGGCCGAAAGAGCAAAAGCTCAACCCCCGCAAAAACACAACTAGTAAACACACAGGAAGTGATGTGGTGGAGGCTGACTCCATACACAGTTTCAAGTGTACATATGATAGAGCCCAATAGGCTCAGGAATCTGTACACCAGTTGATTGACAGTTGAGAGGCGGGACCAAAGAGCCAAAGCTCAACCCCCGTAAGCACAAATAGGTGAGTACAAACTAGGTGAATACACACACACACACACAAAGAGCCAGAGCTCAACCCCCGCAAGCACAATTAGGTGAGTATACACACACACACACACACACACACACACACACACATTCTGTATACAACACAATAAATACCATTGATGTGCTCCAAAAAAACAGGCGAACAAGCACAAACAGCAAGGGAGCCAAAACACCCGCCATGGGCACTGCTTCCCTGATGACGAGAGATCTCCAAACACCACGTCTGGGGACCTTCGCCGCCAGAGTCCGAAGACAGGAAATTGAGAGCGATGAAATGGTGAAATTTGAAGAATAATGACAAGTAATGGGACATAATAGCAGATTAAATTAGAAAATAGACGGACTGAACCGCACCATCAGTGTGAAATATGTTCTGGTGTTTTCCTATTACAGTTAGAGTCATGGGAGAATGTCCTATTACTACTGATACTAATCCTATTAATACTAGCGTTGTTTTCGCTCCATTTCTGCTGTTGTTACCTCAACAAGCCTTACATTAACTCGTACACCAACATCCTCTCTTCGTTACGTCTTAAAATCACGACTCTCCAGGTTGGCTGCCCCGGAAGTACTTTCAGACACTTGGCTATGATCTCGAGCCCCGCTGGCTATGAACACCAGGATCACAGGCTCTGACCTTTAGGACATGGAAGCACTACGATAGTGCGTTTTAAGAAATAGGCACCAGACTGTAGTTTATAACATTCCGCGACACTTCCGCGGAGATCCGTCTGGTGTCTACACCTGCGAGGCTTGTCCTGCGTGACAGGGGCGCGTGACAACATCAATCACCTGTGATTTTCGCGCCATGAACTCTCAAATCATTGCGATCGCCCCTTCCAGGCGTCTCAGTTATCATCGGACAGGTGAGTACGGTATACACATTCCTCCGAGCGATATTTTCTGAATTCAAGTAGAGTGCGGTTATCATCGGACGAACCCACGGAGAGGATTCATTCCTCGAGCGATCGTTTGTGGGCTGGACAATTATGGGTAGTTAAGGGGGGGGGGGGTAACAGCTGCGTTATATGTCAGGTTCTCCGTCTCTTATAGTGGCAGGTCATTTATAAGAAGACTGAAGTGAATGGGGACACTGTACTTCAAGAAGGGATTATATGATCGTGAATTCATCTGTTTGTGGGTTCAAGATCGAGCTATTAGCTTTTGGCCCCAACCTTCCTAACCGTTGATTGTCTAATGTACTTTCTCTCCACCTATTTTCTTTCATATTTGCTTCATATTACTTACACACACACACACACACACACACACACACACACACACACACACACTCACCCCCAAACCCCACCCAACCCTCACCCCTCCTATGCACCTCCAGCCCACATTTAACCCCCTCACCTTGTGACCCCCTAACACCTTCCCCCATCTCCCTCTTCCCCTCTTCTACCCCAAAACCCCCACCTACCCCCGATTCCCCCCTAACTACTATACCCTCTCTTCCAATCCCAGCACCCATGCTCCATTCTCATCTCAACTCTCCACCCTCAGTAGCCCTCTTCCCCCCAACCTCTCAACCTCTATCTGACTCTCAGTCTCACTCTATTTCTCAACCCCCCTATGCTATTCAGACCCCTAACTTTCAGACCCATTATGCCCTTCCTACCCCCCTAGATGCCCAGACCCCATTCGCCTACCAGGCACTCCCAGGCACCTCCCTAGCACCCCCCCACTCACCCCCACAACCCCCACTTGCCCCCCAGACACCCCCCAGTTCCCCCAGACCCCTGGTGAAAGGGGGAACTCTGACACCCGAGTTTCCAAGAAGAGTCTCAAGGTTTGGTACACCAATGCTGATGGGGTAGCCAATAAAGCAGAAGAGATAAAAGAAAGAGTTAGTGAGGCAGACCCAGACATAGTGGCAATAGTGGAAACTAAAATAAATGGCATGATCTCGGATGCAATCTTTCCAGAGGGGTACCAGGTGATAAGAAAAGAAAGGACACAGAGACAGGGAGGAGGAGTGGCACTACTAATAAAGCGGAAATGGAAGTTTGATGAGCTGGAAAATCCGGGTACCAATGAAAGCACAAGCTTCATACATGGAACTCTGACAGTGGATGGGAAGAAGATTGTAATCTTGATACTCTACAATCCCCCACCAAACAGTAGAAGGCCCAGGCAGGAGTACGAGGACAGCAACAAGACATGTATGGATGAACTGCAGAGGGCAGCAACTTTAGCGCATAGAATGAGAGCGAAGCTGCTGGTCATGGGGGACCTAAATCACGGAGAGATAGATTGGGAAACGAGGAATCCCCATGGCGGGGAGGAGACCTGGGGAGCGAAGCTGGTAGACGTTATTGACAGGAATTTCCTAACACAGCATGTGAAAGAAGATACTAGGGAAAGAGGAGGGGATACGCCCAGCCTATTAGATCTCATTATCACTCAGAATGTAGAAGACATCGAGCAGTTGGAACATGAAATACCACTAGGAGCTAGTGACCATTGTGTCCTAGCCTTTGACTACATGATGGAGCTTAAAATTGTGACCAAAGGACAAGAGGTCCGGGAAAGGAGACTTGATTACAGAAAAGGGGACTACAGAAGGATAAGGGACTACCTGGGAGAAGTGCAGTGGGAGGAAGAACTTAGAGGAAAAACAGTGCAAGGTATGATGAACCAAGTCATATTGAAATGCAAGGAGGCTGAAGATAGATTTATTCCAACAATAAAGGAAAAAAGCAGGAGGGAATATAATAACCCATGGTTTAATAGACAGTGTCAGGAAGCAAAGGTGAGAAGCAGGAGGGAGTGGAGGAAGTACAGAAGGCAAAGGACAGAGGACAACAGGATTAGATGTAACAGAGCTAGGAATGATTACATTAACATAAGACGAGTGTCGGAAAGAAATTATGAGAACGATATTGCAGTCAAAGCGAAAAAGCAACCAAAATTACTACATAGCCATATAAGAAGGAAGATGTCGGTAAATGACCAAGTGACAAGACTGAGGAAAACAGAAGGGGCATATACAGAAAGCGACAAGGAAATCTGCGAGGTACTGAATGCAAAATTCCATGGAGTGTTCACTACCGAGCCTGAGCAGCTCCCATTGTTAGAAGAGATTACCCAAGATGAAAGACTATCAGATATAGAGGTGACAGCAGAGG